GGATGAAAGTCGAGAAAGCATCGCGGGCCATATCCGAATCTGATCGCATCAGCTCAGGTCCTCCCCGCATTCCAGTCGGACTTACCTTGTTCGCCAACCTTGAAGAGTTCATATGCCTCCCAAGTGACAACACCGCCGGGAAGTCTGCTCCAACACCATTTCATCACACTGCAAAGAACCTATCCCAATCGTTAGTGATAGTTGATCACCCCCTTGGGACGTAATCCCTCACCATCGGCTCCGTGAGCCGAAGCTCCTGCGCCAAGGCATCGCCGCTAACAGGCGAGCCCTTCTCGAACGACTGATTGAAGTAATTGCGAATGAACGTGCGAGCCGCACTCGGATCGGAGCTGGGACGGAATGGCAGGAGGAGGAACGGCGTGTCGAGGGCTGCAACAAATGATCAGCAATCCGAAGAATGACTACGTGGCAGCTAGCATTCCACACGGTCAGGATATAAATCCACCCACCTCTGGCCTTTAGCTCATGCACGCAACCTCGTACGAGGTCTTGCACTTCCTCCGGCGCGACATCTGTCCGCTGCCACGCATCGGTCCATTTGGGCTTTGCAGGGCCCAAATCTATGGCTGCAGTGGGCTTTGCCTGTTTCTTCGTCGCATTGGAGTCCTTGCTTCGGAAGACTCGCGAGAAGAACGACATGGTTCCGAGGGTATTGACTTCGTTGTGTCAGTAAATGTGGGGGAGACGGGGGTTCCGCTTTTTTTTGGCTTCTGCGCAGACAAGAAAATTAGCGGATGTTTCAATTGTGCGAAGATGCAGACCGACACGTAATTAAACGGAGCAAGTAGATAGACCGTCTGGGCGTGTCCGGGATGTCCTGCAGCCCCGGGAACAGGCTCGGAATAAGCTAAGGATCCCTAGTCTAGAATCCGATGTTTCTAGCTGCTATGGTGAAAACCAGAGAATTCCCAGAGATAGGAAAAAGGAGAAAAACGTTGGAAGATGAAGAGAAAAAAAAAAGAGGAACACGAAGTCGCGATGCTCAGGGGTAAAAGGTAACCTAACTTACCGGGTCTCGACTTAGCCACACAAAGAAGGAATTCACGTTTAATTTCCCCCAAGATCTCAAGACTAGGGAAAGGGTTTGAGACCGTGCGTTGATGAGAGAGAGAAAATGGATGATATCGATGGTGATCATACATGCACTCCTCAATCTGGGTTTGTAGACCCAAGGTACTATGTTCTCACGCCTAACCGTTTAATCCTCTCCAAGTCAACTGGTGTCTTCTAGACCTATGGGTTTCCTATGCCAGCCAATCTCCGAGCGACGATCGCGACGACTGGTCAAACAGTTGTGCCGCGCTGGAACCAATCAATCGTTTCAGATGGGGGAGACTGTACAGCATGTATATTGATACCTAACGAGATTCAACAGCTTCTGTGACATACAATGCAATCATTATGCAATCATTGAGCCACCAATCGAGATCGTAGATTGGAATTGAGCATTGGGCAATTTACATAGGGCTGGAGATATCACGCGGCATTTGTCAGGTCTCAGGAGAGTATCAGGGGAGTACCAATGTCAGTATCCTGTAACGGTGAATGCCCTGTGCCATATACAGTAGAGTCCATATACAGTAGAGTCCATATACAGTAGAGTCCATATACAGTAGTCCCAGATGATATGTTAGAGCATCTGGCAGATTGTATAGGATTGTTCTGTGATCTTTACCGAGTATGATCTAGATATCTCCCCAGGTTGACATCATGGACCCATTGCCCGTGACCATGTCGAGCTCCCAAAGGCCAGCGATAAACATACCAATAGGAAACAAAAGGGACGACTCCACTGTGACAAGCCACTGCAGGGCCATCAGGGACTTTCTGAGAATGTGGTGAGACCGAGGATAAGTTAATTATAGCTCAGCGCCTAAGGCCACAGCTGAGTCAGCACGAATCTTCTTTTCTCCTTCTCCCTCGATTCTATCTTTAGAACTCTCGCCTGCACCGTCAATCCCTCCCCCAAACAACGTGCTTTGGACTTCCATTTTTGTTCTTCTCCTCGGGTTCGCTTTGCTAAGAACTCCGAGGGGCGTTGTTCTCCATACCTTACTCGAGTCGCGTTATCCAACCCCCGCCGACCGAGTATCTAGTGTGTTTCATCCGTTCTTCTAAGACCTACCTTTTGACTTCCGGGGTTCTTTGTTGGCCGATTTGATATTCTCACCTCAATCTGCGCGAAACGGTGATAACGCTTCAGCTTTCTGCGCCGTGAGCCACCGCGCGACCACGATCGACATCGCGTCGGGTTTGCATCCACTGTGAACAAAATAAGCGCGCAAAGTAGTTCGCAAGTCGCTCCGCAACTGTCTTTGCTATTCTCTCTCAATCTCCCTATTGGTGCGCAGTTTGTGCGCCCATAGCCGTCCACCATGGGTCGGAGAAAGATTGAGATCAAGGCCATCAAGGATGACCGCAACCGCTCCGTGTAAGCTGAGCTATCGAGTCCTTGATTCAGCTCATAACTGACCAGAGATTTCTGAATTTAGTACATTTTTGAAGCGAAAGGGTGGCCTCTTCAAGAAGGCGCATGAGCTCGCTGTTCTCTGTTCCGTCGACGTAGCCGTTATTATTTTCGGCCACAACAAGAAACTATATGAGTATTCCTCGTGTGACATGCACGATGCTCTCGGCCGCTATCAATATGTGGGTAATCATACTACGCTCCTCCGACTCGTCTGACTGATTGTGATCTTTAGTTTGGCCCTCCCCATGAGCACAAAGGACCGGAAGACTTTGCGGGCAAGAGAGACGACGATGACGAAGAAGACGAGGCATCGCCAGCTCCCGAGGATATCCAAGCTGTTCAGCAAAATCACCCCGCCATCCCCGCTCATCTCCAGAACCAGCCTGCTTTCCAACACATGAACCATGCACCGTCCGCATCCCCTCCGATCCGTGGCATGCCACTAACACGACATGGTACACCGCAATCACAAGCTTCCCGTCCGTCTTCCCGCAATCATGTTCGTCGAGTCAGTTCCAACTTGGGCCCGCAACAACATGGCACGCCGCCGCCACCCCCTGCCTCCCAAAATGGAAACTTCACTTACATGTCCAATCCGCCGATGTACAATCAGAATGTTCATGCGATGAACCAACAGCCTCGACCCGGACAGTTCACGCACTTTGGGCACCCACCGGGGCCGCATCAGGGGACGCCTCCCATGCACGCGCACGGCCTGCCGCAACAAATGCCACCTCAACATCAGGGGCCCCAGCATTTCCCACAGCACGCTCATGCTGTAGGAATGCCTCCGGGGTCTCATGCGCAGGTGCAGCAGGTTACGCAGGCATACATGCAAGAGCATGGTAGAGGTTCAATGCCCCCAGGATTTGCTCCCGATGGCCAGCAAGAGCGACCTTCCATTTCTGAACCTCAGGATGACTCAGGTGGGATGAAAACAGAACACAGCCAGTCGCCACCGCAAGTGAAGTCTCTATCCAAATCACGAAGCATTTTTACGCCTATCGATGATCGAGGATCCGTTCTTGCCCGCCATTTCGGAGCAGGAGCATCTTCATATGAGCCCCCTCACAATAGTCATTCGCTCAGGTCTGAAGCATCGCCTGGAACAAGATCAATGCCTGTCAGGGCTGCTACGGAGACCCCACGTCCAGCGTCAGTCGCCTCTTCGTCGGAAATCAAACCACCATCAAGAACAAACAGTGGTACACTGCCGTCGAAGAGACCACAGCTGAAGGTTCAAATCCCGAGCGAGAACTCTGATGGAGGCAGTGCTACGGCCGAATCGTCGCGCGATTCTGCTGGGAATAAATCTTCTACTCCGGCGAAAGGCAGTGCAGAAAATGGGCCCTCGGGCGTTGTCTTACCCCCTCCGTCGCCCTCAGCCGGTGCAATATTAAGCGCCGGGGCTTCGGGGCCTCCAAATCCATTCGCACGCCCACCGCCGCCCGTTGCTGCAACCCGAAATGACTCCTACGGAAGCAATAGTGGCAATCCAAACAACAATGGGAACTCAAATAATATAGAGACCCCCATATCTGCCCTTCCGAGTCGCTTTGTGTCCGATGCCCTTCTTCCCTCACCTTCCAGCTTCTTCCCCGAATGGGGCTTTGGTCGCTCAGGTCCCGATTCCAACATGCTGCCCAGTCCTCTCACCTTCCCGACTCCGGCAGTACCAAGCGGACCCAGCTTTTCTCGAGAGGACGAACAAGACAAGAAGAGAAAAAGCCCAGACAGCGGGTCCACAAGTGAAGGTGCTCACAAAAAACCAAAAACATAAGGCCTGATCTTCTCTTTGGGGATCAACCCCTTGTAAAGTGCCGGTATCTTGATCAAGAGACATACCACTTATTAATTTCTTGTCAATACTCATACTCTTCTGGGAACTTTGAATGTCTTTCCTCATCCAGACCATCTATCCTCTATACCCTCGTCCTTATTCGTTCCTTGATCCCCTTCTCTCCTTGTCTACTCTTTATGACGTTTCTCACATGGATTTATTTGAAGTGATATACCAGTGCTGTCTTGTGTCAACTTTCCTCTCTTTCTTATCTCTGAGTTTGCGCTGTTGTGTGGTAGAACCCGGCGTTGGTCCATTCCTCCACTGTTCCACTGCTTTTATTGTTGTACATAAAGCAGGATCTTATTTTTTCGAAATGATGCCAATCTTTATCAGCCTGCTCATTTAATCCCTGTGTAGCTTCAAGTAGCCAAGTAGCCTTTCCACGTACATGTACCCCATCCCATGACAATAAAGCTGTGCAACCATGTCCTCCCAACATGTAGCCCCATTGCAAATTAGACCATCCAAGGCTTCCCACTTCCCAGCCTCACGATCCAACAATTCGGTCCCAGTTTCGGTGTTCGGTGATTGAAGGCGGGGGAAGCAACGAACAAACACCGAGTGGAACACGACAACTATATAATGACGCCTCCTCACTTTTGTGCGTTTGATTCCCCCAAGGTATTCCTCCAAGGTACACTCCAAAGCCCGAAGCTTAGATCGACCATGACCCTCACCGGAAGCTGCATGTGCGGCGGCGTTACGTACGCTGCTGAAGGTAACTACAGCGGATATCGTTTCCGGACCTAGCTAACAACTATCTCCAGTCGACAAATACCTGTCCGCTCTTTGCCACTGCACCGATTGCCAGAAGGTAAGTCAATATGCATCCGAAATGATAATAATATTCCCACCGAAGAAAACAAAACCCTCTAATACATAATATTATAGTGGACTGGCGGTGCCTTCACCTCCAACGCCGTTGTTCCCCGTACCAGCGTCAAAGTGACCAAGGGTAAAGTCCCACTTCCCCAGATTGCCTCACATGAATATATCTAACATTTTCATTTATTTATATAGGAACCACCAGCTCCTACGACGCCATCGGCGCAAGCGGCAAAATTAACAAGCACTTCTTCTGCCCCACCTGCGGCTCCAGCCTCTATACCGAAATCGAGATCATGCCCGAGATGACCTGTATCAAGGCCGGGACATTGGATGGCGGCGAGGCTAACCTTGGTGGCAAGATTGATATCGAATTCTATGTTAAGGATCGTCCTAGTTATCTTGCTCCTGTTGCGGGTGCTAAGCAGGAGCAGACTTTTGGTTGAATTGATGCGGGGATACTGTACTATATGGATGCAGTTGCGCCAAGAACGAATATTTAACAGGAAAATAACAGCCAATTGAAGAGGTCAAAAGTGATTGTTTTGTAGTCCATGTATACTCCGTACAGCAGACGAATTGAGGCAAAAGAAATTTCTTATCGTTAGATTCTCCACTGTTACATTTGCGGGGCTCCAAAACTTTGTTAGAACCTGCCACTTCCGAACTACCCTACCCAGACTACAAAACTGCAATATATCCTCAACTATTCACAAAACGAGGGTATAAACCAAATACCAAAATGCCCCAATCATTCCTCTCAACCCGCGCCCGAACAGTCGTCACCAACGAATCCACCAATCCATTCCACGAAGTGACAAAAGACTCATGGAACCCAACCACAAACCCAACAGGCTACATAAACGTCGGCGTAGCTGAAAACACCCTAATGCATACGGCCTTTCTAAAATACATAAACAAACCCCTGACCCTCCCAGCCAAATACCTAACCTACAACGAAGGCGGGTCAGGCTCAACACGCCTAAAGAACTCCATCGCGGCATTCCTAAACAAGCACCTGAGGCCAGCAATCCCACTGCAGGCCAGTCATCTCCTGCCCACAAACGGCCTCTCGTCTGCCCTCGAGCATGTTTCTTGGTCATTCGCAGATCCGGGTGAAGGGATTCTCCTCGGAAGGCCGTATTACGGCATGTTCATCCCCGATTTATCATTGCGGAGTGGATCTGTTGTTGTACCTGTTAAATTCGACGATGTTGATCCGCTGGCGATGGACGCCGTGGGGAAATACGAAGAAGCGATATTGGATTTTCAACGGCGGACGGGGAAGAATGTTAAAGTGCTTATGTTGTGTCATCCTCATAACCCGCTTGGAAGGTGTTATCCGCGTGATGTGCTCGTGGCGCTAATGCGGTTGTGTCAGCGGTATCAGGTTCATTTCGTTAGTGATGAAATCTATGCGCTGTCTGTTTTTGAGAATGGGGTTGATGAACAACCTCCGGCTGTGCCCTTTGAGTCTGCTTTGTCGGTTGATTTGACCGGTGTTATTGACCCCAGGCTTGTGCATGTGCTTTGGGGGATGAGTAAGGATTTCGGTGCGAATGGTATTCGACTTGGTGTTATTATTTCGCAGGCGAATCGCGATGTTCATTTTGCTTTGGGGGGGAGTACGCTTTACTCTTCCGTTTCTGGGTTGACGGATCATCTTGTTTCGGTTATGCTTGAGGATTTTGAGTTTACGGATTGGTATATTCGGAGGAATCAGGAGTTGTTGGCTGAGGGGTATGCGTATACGACTACTTATTTGAAGGATCACGGGATTGAGTATGCGACTGGGTGTAATGCTGGGTTCTTTGTTTGGATGGATCTTGGGAAGAGGTTTTGTGAGTTACATCCTGGGGAGAGTGAGGGTGGGGATATTGGGGAGAAGGTTATGCGGCGGCTTTTGAAGAAGAAAGTGTTTTTGGCGAATGGGGCTTTTTGTGGGTCTGAGAGGGATGGGTGGTTTCGGATTGTTTTTACGCAGGGGGATGGGCTTTTGAGTGAGGCTCTGGCGAGGATTGTTGCTGCTCTTGAGGGATGATTTGTATTTATAGTGGTATGTACTTGGGTTGGCTGATTTACTTGCTCGGGTATTTGACATACACCTATAGACTTGAGATGGCTGTGTAATTTAGAGAGGTAGATACATAGTGTATACATCGATAATAATGGCATTGAATCTGTGAAGACTTGTCGAATATATGCCTGCCGCTTGCCAGGCCAGATTTCACTTTCTACCAAGTGTTCTGCTCCAATGTTATGTCCACCCCTGGCAAACCTGACAAAACACCTTCTCTAGATGGGTATCTATTTTTTGGTAGCCCTCTTGTCTCATATTCTGAACACCATCATATTAAGGATTGTTGGGCTTGTGGATCGCTGTTTGGGTCGATACCGTGATGCCTGATGATCTAGTTAGGGTTGGTCCAGCACGTGACCGATTTTCAGAGCACACCTTAAAGGCTGGATCAGTAATTGAGGCTTCAAATATGTATGGAAAGGTATGAAAAACGAAAATTGAATTTGAAAATGTGGAATAAGTTATTTGTTCATCAAGTTTCATTATCATGTTTCAAAAAATACCCAATGTGGGCCAGAGATCTAAATACCAACTCCGTGTATGTACAGGAACCTCAAAACAAGGTGGAGTTGGGGAATGCAAGTACTTTTGTACTTTCTAAGGGGATTGAATCACCCATAAAACAAACAGAAAGTGGGGGAAAAATCGCTAGGTCATGACAGGTAGAGGTATCACAAGAACGCCAAGGGTATGCAATGGTGAAAAGATGCAACGCAATGAGAGATTAGACAGGAGGAGCCAATTGGGTCTGCAGTGCCTGAGACAGGGCCTCCTCCTGGCGCTTGCGTTCCATCTCCATCAAGTACTGGGCGTACTTGGAGCGAGGGTTGTGGATACCACACTCGGTCTTCTGCTGACCCTTCCAGCGACCGGAGCGCTCGTCCTCATTGTCAGCAACGGGCTGGGTGGAGTGCCAGTCACCAATACTTTTGTAGCCACGGTCGAGGAGCTCGTTGTATGGGACGTCGTTCTCCTTGATGTATTGCTTAACTTGATCAAAGGACCAGTTGGCCATGGGGTTGATCTTGATAAGGCCGGCCTCGTCAACTTCGATGATGTCGAGGTCACCACGCTTGCCACCCTGGCTGCGGCGACGGCCAGTGAGGACGGCGTGAACGTTCATTTCACGGTAGGCACGCTGGGCTGGCTCAACCTTGGCAACCCAGTCGTAGAGAGCATCGTCGGTTTCCCAGAGGCGGTCACCGTACTTTGCCTTGAATTCCTCGGCGGTCTCAGCGCCGGCAGGCTTGTACACGTGAATGTTGTTGTTGGGGTACCGTCTGCGGACACGGTCGACCAGAGACAGGGTCTCGTCGAAGTGGTGCAGAGTATCAAGGAAGATGAGGTCAACCATCTGGGGGCGGGGCACCTCCAGTTTGGATAGCATATCCAGAGTGACAAGACCAGTCAGACCGAAAGCAGTGGTCTGGAAAAGGTGGGGCAGAGAAGTAATGCACCATCTCAGGATCTCTATAAGAATGAGTCAGAAACAAGGGTCTTTCAAAAGAGGGGTTATGAACATAAAACGAACCTTGAGGCTCAAGGAATTGCAACTGGCGGTTGAGGAACTGAAGGTGAGGCTTGGTGAAGACAATCTCCGGGACGTAGTCCTCGCTGGAGCCAGAGCCAGCACTGACATAGCCAGACTCAGTCATGGCATCGTGAGAATCAATGCCCTCCATCTCAGAGGGGTAGCTGACGGGCGTCTTAGCCGGCATTGTGATGTATGTGTATGTGTATGATGTATAGAGGACGCAAAAGATGATATGTAAAAGAACAAAGGATGAAGCACCAAGTTCAAGGAGGCAAAGTGGTAAGAAGAAGATGACAATGAGCGAGACTATAAGAACCGGGGGGCAATCACGACATCACGTCGGGGTTTCGTGCCTGGCATCTTCTACATCCGATAGTTCCAGGGCCATTCTGCCGAAATCACGACATTGCTAATCACCGCTTACCCAAAACGGGCAGAATTGCTGAAAAATTTGGCCGTTGATGAGCACGCAATACTTGCGTTTCGGGTCGGTGTGGGTGCCCGTACAACATTTTGTATGTCAATTCAGCTGATAAATCCGTCGATTTTCCCGGTCGGATGCCGATGTCTTCGAGACATCTGTAGAATCATGCAGTTCTTGCATCTATTTGACTTATGACTAACCCCCGGAGTTGGTAATTGACGCTGAGCAATCTGGGGTGTAATCACTCCGATCACGATCTCCCTAGTCTATGATGTTAGCCGGTTTCTATAAGCTCGGAGCCAAACAAACCCGGACGTATGATGACACATGCTGTAATATGAGGCAAAGCCCACACACACATTACTTGATATGTCATGGTGGACCTGGATGAGGCCCCCATGGCTGAAGTTTGGTTCCTCCATCACCTCATAATTCTGCCGGGCGGTGCATCGCAGGTATGTCACGTGTAGAGACATCACGTGTATGTCTCACCGATGACCGTTCTGCCAGGCGGTGTGTTTGGTGGGACCAAATCCCACGTGCCCGATCGACAAAGGAACGTTTTTGATCTTCCCAAGTGCGGGTTCACTCTAACTTGCAATAGCTCCCTAATTCCCAGTTCCCGTTTCTTGTAGGCCATCATGACAGAATCCAGCCGTCCGATGCGGCCGTCCCTCGGCCAGATGCGCAGCAGCTCCTTCCTGCAAGACCATCAGCAGTATAAGCCCATGGCCTCAATCAACCCAATCAACCAAAGCATTGGCGAGGTTTTGGCGAATCAGGTGGACGAGAACCTGAAAATCAACTCGAACCCAATCAAGCCAGACCCCGAACGTGTCACCGACAGCGGCGTCATTCACAGCATCTTTAACCATCAATCAAACCCGCTTCCTAGCGGCACGTCGCAAATCGTCGCGACCATCTACTATAAATCCTCCAGCCGCGTCCACCCCAACATTCACCCTGATGTGGCGTCTGCCTCCAACGACCCGCTCCCGCCGCCCATCATCCCCGAGGGCTCGGCCCCAACAGACGATATGGAGAAGATCCCGCGCGAGCCTCCCATCCCGGAGCCGGAACCACTGGATCACCTGTACGGTCCTTACGTCTCGCAGCTGTGCTTGACAAATTTCCTTCAGATATTGGAAGCTCTGCCCACGCCCTACCAGCGGATGAACACCTCGCACCGCTGTCTAGACCGCGACGAGCACCCGCGCGTCGTGGAGGTTACTTTCTCTCCGCCGCCAAACCCGGAGTATCTTTCATTCCCGGATCTGCGCAAGCACGAGAGCATCTGGCGCTTTGAGCGCGAGTGGAATGTCGAGGTCGTTCTGCAGAAGGAGAGCGTGTTCCGCCGCCACAAGCGCCTGGCCGTATTCGACATGGATAGCACCTTGATTGACAACGAGTGCATTGACGAAATCGCCAAGTTCATTGGGGTCGAGAAGCAGGTCTCTGTATGTTTTTCTCGAGATTTTGCGCTTAAGTCAGTCACTAACATAGGCATAGGACATCACCGAACGCGCCATGAACGGCGAATTGGACTTCTCTGCATCGCTCAAGGAGCGTGTTGGTCTTCTCAACGGTGTTCCCGCTGATGTCTTCGAGAAGCTCAAGTCCGTTTTGAAGATTGCCAAGGGTGCCCGTGAGCTCTGCCATGCGTTGAAGACTCTGGGTTACAAGATTGCCGTGCTGAGCGGCGGCTTCCAGCCTCTGGCAGAGTGGCTCGCTGAGCAGCTCGGCATTGACATTGCTGTGGCCAACCACGTAAGTCGAACTTTCTTTTGCAGGTTTGGACGTTTACTGACCTGTCATAGCTCGAAATCGACGAGGCCACCCAGACCCTCACCGGCAAGCTCGTGCCGTCGTACCCCATCGTCGACGCCGCACACAAGCGCACTCTTCTCAAGTCCATCGCCGCGGAGCACAACATCCCGCTCTCACAGACCATGGCCGTCGGCGATGGCGCCAATGATCTCCTCATGCTTCACGCCGCAGGCCTCGGCGTCGCCTGGCGCGCCAAGTCCAAGGTCCAACTCGAAGCCCCCACCCGCATCAACGGCGAGAGCCTCGTAGACATCCTCTACCTCCTCGGCCTGGACAACGAGGACATCGCAGAGCTGACCTCCGAAAGCCAATGAAGCTTTTAATGGGTACGGATGAACTCATTCCAGTAGAACATTTGCTGTGTGCGAGAAACCGTGCCCTTTCGTTCATTCCCATGGACAAATTATACCCCCCACCACCATCGGGTTGAGCCCAAAGCAGTACCCACAGAGCCGTAGTCGAGGCTGGACCTAAACTTCTTCTCACATCGTGTTATTCGAGATTTGTCTGTCCTTTGCCTTTACTTTTACCATGAGCGGAGAGTCTAGATCAATGAAGGGTAGGAGTTGCATAGTGCCCAGCGTGGAATTCGTGTATAGCATGACAGCCGTCTCTATTTCTGCAATTATGGCGATCATTTCGTCTCTTATAGAGTGCCAATGTATGCCAAGGATGTAGGCTACCTTGGTGGCTACTGTGAGTCCCCTCGGGGGATCCCGTGGATAGAGTCAACTAGTGCGAGTCAAAGAGTTGGAGCAAGGCTCGGATAATGATTCTACAATCGTAGGCCATAAGTCCTTTCGTACCCCTACATTTACATAGTGTACATTATTAAACTACCATTTTCAAACAACTACAACCCGAGGTACTCGAAAATGGGCAAAAAGAGGCCAGAAAAGAGAGGCCAATATAAGCGAAAACAAAGCATAAACGGTAAACTTGTTTTGAGGCTTTCTTGTAGAGACTGTCCAATAATCAGTGGCACTGTATACACTTTATGATGCCTGTTGTGTGATATTGATAAGTGAAATGAAAGTGAAAACGCGACACCGAGTTGATTTCTAGTGCAGCATGATATTGGAATTAAGAACAGGCAAGAATAGGCCACGAATGACTTCAATGATACAATGTGTTCCTGTGAAATGTTGAAATGACGAAAAAGCCAGCAAACAAGAACAAGAAAAAGTACCTTATATGAAAACCCCCAAACCGACAACCCAAAAGATGTAAGATAGCGCCAGCAGGTAAGATAATATGAGCACCAAATGGAAGCAAAACAGGACGGGACAGCACGAGACACAGATGGGGGTAGTGTATAGGTTGTTTAGATAACAAAGACGGAAGTTTGTTGAAAAAGGATGGAAAAAAAAGCACCTTAGTGGGTAGCATCGGCGGTAGCAGTGCTCTGATCGACAGTGCCCTCAGCAGCACCGGAACCAGAACGACGCTTCTTAAGAACATTCTCAATGAACGCCTCACCAGCCTTGTAACTGCTGCGCACAAGGGGACCAGAAGCACAGTAAAGGAAACCCATCTCAAGGGCACGCTTGCGCCACATCTCAAAGCGGTCGGGGGTGACATACTCGTGCACAGCCATATGACGCTTAGTAGGACGCATATACTGACCAAAAGTCACAACATCAACATTAACAGCGCGGAGCTGGCGGAGAGCATCCCAGAGCTGCTCATCCGTCTCACCAAGACCAAGCATAAGCGAAGTCTTAGTAATAAGGTCCGGTCTAGCCTTCTTAGCAGCATCGAGCACGCGAATCGACTGCTGGAAAGTAGCGCGGCGATCACGCACGAAAGGTGTCAGCTCCTCGACCGTCTCGACATTGTGCGCATACACATCCAGTCCGGAGCGCGCGACCAACGCCGCCATCTCCAGATCTCCGCGGTAGTCGCCTGTCAGGCACTCAACCAGCATGCTGGGCTTCTTCTGCTTGATCTTGATGACTGTTTCGGCGAAGTGGCGCGCGCCGCCGTCGACTAGGTCGTCTCGGTCGACGCTGGTCAGCACCACGTAGCCGAGACTCCAGCGGGAGATGGCTTCGGCGGTGTTCTCGGGTTCGTGCGGGTCGAGCGGGGGAGGAGCGCGGGAGGTCTTCACGCTGCAGAAGCGGCATCCGCGCGTGCAGGTGTCGCCCATTAGCATGATTGTTGCTGTGGCGGAGGATTTGTCGCTGCCGCCCCAGCAGTCGGAGATGTTGGGGCAACGGGCTTCCTCGCAGACGGTGTGTAGGTTCAATCCACGTAGATCCTTCTTTAGGCGTTGGTAGTTCTTTGAGTCTGGGATGGGGGTTTTGAGCCACTCCGGCAGGCGAGTCATTTCCTTTTTGCGGCCGGCTGGGCCGACCATTGCGGTCTTGAGGGCGTAGGCTTCAGCTGGGTCGAGGACCTCATCTTGGCCTCCAGATACGAAGTCTGCGAAGGAGGGTCCGGCGTTCAGTTTGTCTTGGAACTTTGTTGCTCGCCGCCGTGTGGTTCCCGGTGTGCTGGTGGCGGATGGGGAATCCGTTGTGGCATAGGTGCGGCGGGTGAAGGGGGTAATTGCTGTTGAGGCTGGGGATACAGTGGTTCTGAATGACGACAGGTGTCGTAGGCTTCTTGTAGGGGCTGCCATTGTGTGTAGGTGTCTATGCTATCCATGATCGCAGGTGGAAGTTGAGGCACGCAATTCATGAAATTCTGCCCGGCGGTGAGTACTTTCCCGCGGAATGACAAAGCATTTTGCTTGACCGTTCCGAGTGACGCGGGCAACTATGGAGCTTCCATAGGAGATAGGGAACTATAGTATAGATATGGCAATCGTGCTGGTCGAAAACGCGACTGTGATTATTGTTTCTATGCTACTTAAAAAAAACTAGTTATACAAATCTGTATCCACAACATAAAATTACGGGAGCCAGTTCCAAAGAGCGAATCGCAATGCAAGGGTATGTAGTAGAGCAGAAAAGACCAACAAGATAGAAAAGGAAAAGGTTATCGTGAGCGAGGGGGACGGTGTATCACCGGAAGGCCAAGTAGATTAGAATAAAGGATGAGAAAAGGAGATGAAAGAGATGAAAGGAGAGATTGAAGGAAAGTTTGAGAGAAGGACTGATAGAGACAAGGAAGGGTATATGCAAGGAGTGATCAATTCTATGCATTGGTTTCAAGAACCTGTGCAAGAACTTCGACAGCCGATTTGAGGGTAGGATCGGACCGTCCACAAATGGCGAAGAGAAGGTTATCAATGATTCGCTCGAGCTCACGTCGGAGGTCAGCACTGCGAGATCCAAGGACACGGTTATTCATCTTGCCAGGAGATCCAGATGGGATCTGGATCCCCAACGTGCTATAGGCTTTTGTTGGCACAGCATCAACAGCGTAGGGGTCGTTCCTGGTTGAAACAGAAGGTTTGCGGCGATGGATTGATGATAGAGAAAGAAGGTAGTTGCGAGCTAGGAGAGCAGCGCAGAGACAGTCGAGGAGGTTTTCGGTGACATCGGGGAAGATAGTACGGAAGGGCCTGAGAAGGGCCTTCTCGTCATTTTTGCGAAGGAATACAATGACAGGTGAGGTGAGACGGAGCATGTGTCGAGGGAAGTCTTTCACGGAATGATCGAGCTCATCTAGAGTCCATTCGTGATCATCCGAGGTCCAGTCGTGGTGCCATAATCGTTGTTTCTCGTCCTCTTTATCGGACATATTAGATGATCCCACTGGTGAACGGAGTGACCTTTGGGATGATGCTTTTGGGCTCACACTGCCCGATCTGATTTCAGGATGTGGAAATGCTTCTCTTTCTTCGTGCGAAGATTCGGGTCTTTCGCAGACGACAGTAGACGTAACGCTGTCCGAGGTGAGTGACCCTGGATCTGTATATGCGTCGTCGTCATCTTTGCTGTCGTCATAACTCTCTATTGAATAGCCAGAATCACGGGTGCCATATCCACTATCAGACATATCGAGTGGAGTGTCTGGACTAAAGGCAGACACCTCCTCTTGTCGTTGGTCTGGTGTTGTAGGTATGATCTGTGGCAGCAGGGTTGGTGGCGGTGGTAATGGTATAGAAGGTGATGATTGTCGAGCAATGTCAACTAGTTTTGGCTTCGTTTTGCATGCGCTTGCAACGACGAACCGCTACAGGATGGTCAGCTTTCATTTTAGACGTGAGGAACGACGATAAGAACCTACCACAGGCTCTTCTAGAGCTTTGGCACCTGGAATGATATCCAGCTTTGGCATGGGTGGATCATTCTCGACAATTTGGACCTTTCGCCGATTGACAACCCGTGGAGGTGTATCTTTGTCATTTATTCTGTCAACCGGTACATTTTGCAACCATCGTTCGCAGTAAGAGAAGTTGCTCGGTACCCAGCTGGCTTCACTTGAAACAGTCGTAGTCCTGGGGCGTTGAGGACGCGGTGAGCTTCTTCGCGAAAGGCCCTTCTCATTGTAGACTGATTTTGGAGACGTGATAGACATCGAAGTCTTCCCCTGTTCTTTTGGTTCTTCTTTATCTTTGGACTCACATTGCCGTACGAACTCCGAATGTGCTTCATGAACATTCATGACGTCTGTTCGGTGCTGTTCTTTCCAATCGGGAGGACGATAGGCCCGGTAGCTGATCTTCCCCTCGTCAGATAGAACACTCAGTGCTGGGTCCTCGTCCTGTGTATTCTCGGCGTCGGTCTCGGTCTCAGTCTCCTCCTTCGAGTCGTCTGATTCATCTGATGACTTGCAATCAAAGTATGAAGACTCCGGCCCCGCGCTTGCGGGCCGTGATTCTGATATTGGTGGACTTGGTAGAAGACCGAATGCTGCCATACTTGCGCAAGTCAGGTTTTGATCTGAGCGCCATGTTCGCAGACTGTGGCCGGCCGGCAGCTTTGATGTCTTGTTCGGCTTTTCGGGAAAACAGGGTGCACTATCAACCGACGCTGGTGATGTCGGTAGCATTAATTGAAAAGGTTCTTTCATCCTTCGAACCGATCGGAATGGCGACATGCAGGCTTGGCGGCCTCGTTCCGCTGGCCGCCGCCGTAATGAGGTTGAATATTCATGCGATTCTATACGAGGCATGACTGGCGATGGAACAAACGATAGCGACGGCATTTGTCTGCTGCGTCTCCGAGGCTGGTAGGTTGGAGACCATCGGCGGGGTGAGGGAATGGGCTCGGCAAATGTGGTCATCGCATTGGGGCTCATACAAGACGAGTTCGAGCTCTGATTCTTTATATGAGTTTGGATGGGCGGTGGAAAGCATGCATTATTAGGCATGTTTCTAACACCACAGTCCATAGCGGACAATGGTGCACGCGGCTGGAAGAAGCAGTCGTGTTGGAAATGGAAAAAACAAAATAGGTTGCACAAGAGTTACCCAGATGAGAATAAGATCCAGAGAGAGTAGATTATCAGCCAAAACAAACAGAATCTCCGACCCATGCAGGGGCTGGATATGTCCTTATACAGAGACAGTGGCGCTAGTCAGGTAGCTCAATGTGGGTAGGGTCAAGCTCAAGTGAACATCCCTTGACAGGACCACAACCCTGCCATAAAGAACCCCGGAAATGTTCAGCACCATTCCCCCTTCAGGCTGTAAAGAGGGTCCGTCGTCTAGCACAACCCGAACTTCGGTTGGACCAGGCACGGGCCAGGGTAATAATAGTGAGAATGTCGCGTCGTCCTTGCATACCAAAGAAAGATGAGAAACCAGCGAGGAACGGACAATCATTGGTTCCAGAGTTCGATCTGTGGTCCTGCAGGAGCCCGTCAACGTGGAAAGACCCTCATCCGTCACCAAATCTCGTCATAGCTAGATGTCCGGTAGGCACTAGGAATGAGACAAATGGGATGCGGGAGGTGGCAAAGGGAGCCGGGGCGAATCAAGTCCCTTGAGAAGGGCAACAGGATCGGCCAGAGGGTGTACCGAAGTGGGTCTTCATTGGATGTTGTGTCTCGTTGCAACGGCAATCCATCCCTTCTTCTCATTGGGGTTTATCCCTTGCAGTCACCTAGTTCATACCAATGTTATTGTCCATATAGAGCTTGGGTATAAATGCTTGAACCAGGCTAGCATTCGTCAGGCTTTCATTCTGGGTGGCGATAATAAGCTGACAGACCGAATCACTTTGGTTGATACGGAGTAGAGGCAAGTTGATAGCTCAACTGCTGATATGACTTCTAGGGCTGTACAGCTGACTAAGGATGATAGGTCCAGCTTTCGGCTCTTGCAAGGACGGCTCATTAGCAGATGAAACATTGGCTACATTAGCGTTATTAGCGTTCGATTTGATATCGGAGAAATCTCAGAAGGTTGCATTAGCAGAACCCAAAGTGTCTACAGTAGATACATCACACCTGTACTCCGTATAGATCGTGGTCAAACAGTGCAAACATCCCGTTATCGATTAGAAAAAAAAGCTCGGCTGGAAGGCAACTTGAAACTCCCCTACAGCCTCAGTCTACAATTTAGAATTCCTCATGCTTTCCGAATCATTTGTGGCGTCGGTGCTGTCATCCGCCAAATCTCCGACAGCCTCGCTCAGAGATGTAGGGATCTGCGTCCACGAATTGCAGCCTTCGTCCATACTGCGATCGACTTTCAAGAAGAGCTCGACCGCGACCAACTGTCTGGCTGTCAGCCCCTCGCATATTTTCACGGCCCAAGCTGACAAAGCTGTGGTGCACGTGTACAGCCGTGAAAAGGGTAACCAAGAGGCCATTGTTCCATTTCCGGAGCGTATCCGCAGCATTGCTGTTGCGGGGGGCAAGTATGGTGATGTCTTGGTTCTGGGCACCGAGGGTGGCCGATTGATCCTATGGGAGGTATGCTTGATCCGATTGATTCACTCCGCCATGCATCATGCGTCTGACTGCTTTTTCTAGACATGCACAGGTCGTCAAGTGGCCTCGACAGCTTCCCATCTGCAACCAGTGACCTCACTCGTTGTCGACCCTACGTCCAACTTTATTCTCTCCGGATCGGCTGATGCCAGTGTACATGTCTGGTCCTTGCCTAGCATTCTGTCATTCTCAAAGCCCGCTCTTAGCGCCAGTCGTCAACCCACGAACTCGCCTATCCGAACCTTCTCCAACCACCGCGCAGCTATCACCTCCCTTGCTGTAGGACATAGCAATGGCCGACACAACATTGTGATTTCAACTGCAAAGGATAACACCGCAATTGCATGGGACTACCAGACTGGTCGTGCGATGAGAACCTTCCTCCTGCCTCTCTCCGCGACATCTGTGGCTCTGGACCCCGTTGACCGCGCATTTTATGTTGGATATGAAGACGGCAGCGTGCAATCAGTAGACTTTTACCGGGGCCAGTCTGTGCAGCATCCTCTTCACGATCCATCTGTGCAATCTACACCCGTGCAGGTATCGGCAGAAGACAGATGGCTTCCTCCTTCAGCCGAGTCCGGCTCAGTTAAGACACTCTCCCTTACATATGACGGCACCACACTACTCTCCGGCCACGAGAGCGGCAAGGTGCTATCATGGAACATCGCGCGGCACAAGTATGCCTCATCGGTTGCCGACTACACACACCCGATCACAAACCTTGTTATGCTTCCCCCAGGTGGCATCCCCCACCCTTCGTCAGACTTGAAGCGAACCGCGCATACCATTGTCAAGCCGCGCCATGACAATGGACTCTCGGCCCCGACGCATGCCCCTGGAGCCGTGCCAGCAGAGTACATGTTCCACACCCACATTATCGCACCCACTAAATCCCGATCTCGCAAACAAACCCAGTTCTCCCAGGCGCTCACCCACGCCTTCTTCCCTGATTCCATGATTGAAGACGGTCTCGCCGAGCTGGCAGCATTTCGCCAGCCCGGTGGCGCGGAGGTTATCCGCGTCTCCTCAAGCACTCCAGTCGCCAGTGAAAGCGCCGAGGACGCAGCAACTCGCGATTTGCAAGTCACCGAGCTTGAAAGCGAGGTGTCCGTGCTCAAGAAGAAGGTTGCAGTGAATGAGTCAGCTCGCCATAGTGCAGACGATGAGGTCGTCAAGTTACGCTCGGACCTTGCTAGTCTGCAAGATTACATCAACGAGCTCCATGAGAAGCAGGAGGCTGCCCAGCAAGACAAGGTCGTGCGCCAAGCAAGGAAGCAGGAGCACGCGACTAAGAGACGGGAAGCATGGCTCGCTGCAGAGAAGAAGGGCCGCAATGGTGATGCGGCTATGAAGAAGATGGAGATCGACGATGGCGCTTTGACCAGTGACTCGGATGATCAGAGTGATGAATAAAAGTTCGGCCTTGGTAATTTAGTTGGCATGATTTGCAGGATCGGCGCGGTGTTTAGTAAATATATCATCTTGGCTTCAGGCAAGTAACAAAGATGCTACGTACATGTCATGAATGAGTGCAATTCAAATACACGACCTTTTTCTGTGCCTTGGACAATAACCATTCAGTCTTGTAGCTAATCAAATATGCGGTTACGAGCCCATCGATGTATAGATCACTACGTCTACATCAAGACATATAACTACCTAGGAACACATCACACTTCCCTACAATCTACACAGCCAAAGCAAAATAAGATCAATGCCATTGTGCACCAACTATAAACCCATCCCCACCACCTCCACACTCCACAATCTGGGGTAAACAACTCAATAAGTAGCATGACTAGCCCCCTGCTCCAAAACCTCACCCTCATTAACCTCATGCATAATCTTAACCCCGGAACTAGTCCCAATCCGATGCGCACCCGCCTTCAACATCTTCACAACATCATCAGCAGTCCTCAATCCCCCACTAGCCTTAATCATACAAGGCCGTCCACACATATCAGCCGCAATGCGCATAAGCGCCACGTGCTGAAGAGTAGCACCCCCATTCCACCCAGTACTAGTCTTAATGAAATCCGCCCCGGCCATACAGGCCACAATCGCCGCATCAATCAACTGCTCCTCATCCAACAGCGACGCTTCAAGAATAGCCTTCAACACAATCGGCGAGGGCGCCGCCTTGCGCACGGCTAGGATGTCATCGTAGACTTCCGTGTACCGGCCTTCTTTCAGTAGTTGGTAGCGGATCACCATGTCCAGTTCGCGAGCGCCGTAGGTTACGGCTTCTTTTGCTTCGCGGACTTTCTCCACTGTTTCGTGCGTCCCTTCTGGGAAGGCTACCACACATGCTACTACTGTGTTTGAGTCTTTAAGATGTGCCGCTGCGCGTGCGACATGCTCGAGTCGTACACAGACGGAGGCGAAGTCTTGGTCTAGGGCTTCTTGGCAGAGGGTGTCGATTTGGGAGACGTCGATTGGAGTTGTGAGGAGGGTGTGGTCTATTGTGCGGTTGATTGAAAAGGGTATTGATGGTTGGGAGAGATTTCGTTCTGGGCGGTGCTTTTTCATGTTTGATATCTTTTCCGCCCATTCGGTGTCTGTTGCTGGTATGGCGCTCATTTTGGGTGGTGTCAATGTTGTCAATGGAGTTCACGGGTGTCTGTATTGGAGAGTAACCCACGCAGTAAGTGGGATTTAGTTCACTTTTCCCCTCTTCTAGACGAGGGGATGTCACGTGTGTACTAAACATCTCATGATGACGCCCCGTGATATCTTGACACGATGAGAGGCGGTGTGGCGGGTGTTTGATGCTCTGTTTACTATACTAAGTAGGTGGTCAATGGACACAACGTCCCGTTACTCATGTATATTTATGGAGTACTCGAGGCAAGGATATGATTCCCTTTAATCTCCAATGCATTGCAGCAAGCATTGCATATGATAGATGAATCTCCACCTAAGAAAACGGTTGTCTAGACCACAATCAACATGAGGCTGCCCTTCCCTCGCACATACATCCCTTCTCATACCCTTCCTACATTGATTTTATGCAGCAGTATTGTTGCAAGCCCATCGATCTATCGACAGCTTCCACACTCTGGTCCGCGAACATCGTCCACACGTCCCACGCGCCTCGGACCTGATCCCGGACCACCGCCGCCACCACCACCACCTCCACCTCCACCTCCTCCAGGTCCATACGAGGAGCTACCTCCCCAGCGGGAACGGGTAGTATATCTGTTGCTTGGACGGTTGATGTTGAATGCAGATTCCTCAGCGGCTTTGTACGAGTCGAGCTGGATATGGATGGGTTTCATGTCAGCCTAATCCGATTGCGCGAGAAAGATAGGAGGGAGAAATGAAGCGGAAAATAAGCGGGAAATCAATCGTTGCACAATAGAAACACATACCGCGAGCAGACTAGTGAAGTATAGGCCGAAGAAGAAGTAAATGCTCTCCATGAAGCGAGTGAGCCGCACAGAGATTGGGGGGCTGTGTGTGCACCGGTCAGCGGGTTCTGGTCTGTATTTGTAGAGGAAAGGAAATATTTACGTCTCGAGGACCTCCCCGTTTGAGAAATAGACGGGCTTTGCGGGTCTGTTCGACATTGTTGATGGGTAAAGGTGGTTGTCAGAATTGAAGATGCGAATGAGGTGGAGTGATCAGCAAGGCCGGGCCGGGCTCCACTATATATATTGACAGTCGGCCCTACTCTTTCACGCAGTACGCCAAACCTCTTTCACTACCAGAACATATATATATTTTCAAGAATCACGTCTATTTCATATCTTGGGGGTATCTGAATGCTTATCTATTTACATATGCAGCAGCTCCATCGCTTGGAAATCATAATATCGTGGGTGAAATCACTGCTTCTCTACTTCCCCTGACACTGCAACCGCGTCCACTTCGCTGCGCAGGTCATCCAGTCCATGGAATCCTTCCTCAATTACCCATTTTTGGCCTTGAGGATTATGCAATACGTGACAACTGGCTCCAACCACCAGCAAACCCGGTGGTCGCGATCCTGCCTCTTCAAATGCCAAGCAGACATGCTCGAGGGTCGAGCGAATGACGCGTTGGTCTGGGCATGATGCGCGCTCAACAATCGCGCAGGGTGTCTCCTTAGGCCAGAGAATGCGCGATTGAGAACCAGCATCATCCGGGAAGGTGGTGAGAGACTCTACGAGAGCAGAGAGACGGTGGAGAGCCATCAGGAACACCACTGTCTGGGTAAGTACGTAGGTAGGGGGGTTTGGAGCTGCACCCTTTCTGCCAGTTCCCGTGCATACGAGGACCTGGTCGGAGACGCCGCGGTGGGTAGCGGGGATATCAGCGAAGAGAGATGCGCTCATGGCACTGGTGATACCAGGCAACACGAGAGGTGAATATCCTTCTTTCCTGAAGAACTCGAACTCTTCTGCTCCACGGCCGTACAGATAAGGGTCTCCTTGCTTCAAGCGAAGGACCTGGCGTCCCTTTTGCAAAGCTGCAAGACCCATCTGCAGGAACTCCTCTTGGGCTTGGTCTGCGTTGCCGGGGAACTTGCGTGCAATGTGCACTTCTGTTCGACGGGGGATCAGATCCAGCACCGGTGCGGGGACGAGCTTGTCTGCGAGGATGATATCGGCCTTGTGGATTGCGTGATACGTGGCGCGTGTGAGCAAGTCTGGGTGACCGGGACCCGAGCCAGCGAGAACGATTTTTCCTTTCCTTGAAGGAGTTTCGATGCCATTTGTGTCTTGCACATTCTCCTTTCCAGACGAATAGGCCTCCAGGATGGCATCCATGTCGGCATCGGTGATAGAGACGAGCTTTCGCAGAGGCCAGTATTCACAGATCTGTGACAGCCAGCGCATTCTCCTCGTTTTCGCTGCTGCGGCGTCTCCCTCTGTAACCAAAGTGTTGAAAGTGTGGTTTTGACCTGTTGTATCGTCGTCTTCTCCCTCATATGTGGCACCACCTGACCCGGCCGCGTTGTCTTCTTCCCACAGCCGCCTGCGCACGGCACCTATTCTGTCAATGGCCGTGCCGAGGTTCTGTGGTAGGAAAGCAGCAATCTCCCTCCGCAGGCGGGATGCAAGCTTGCAGCCACGACCTGAGGTTGTGATTCCAATATGGAGGGGTCCATCCGAGTAGGTGGAGAGCAGGGTGAATGAGCAGAGTTCGGGAGCATCTGACACATTGACAGGGATTCTTAGACGCCGGCAGAGCTTCGAGATGTGGGAGCCTATAAACCAATGAGTATGGGCATGTTGAGAGTTATACAGGGAGAACATACTCAGCGGGTTACTTCCACTTAAGGTGACAAAGACCAAGTCCACAACGTGGTCGACCTCTTCTCTTCCCAAGGTGGTCAAGTCAGTATCTTGGAACTCACGACGCACCCATTGAGCAGAGCCCTTGGAAATTTGCTCAGATAGAGTGTAATGCATGTCCACAGTCTCCGGCGCAATAATGATCGGTTGCGCGCCGACTTCAAGGGCTTTCGCACATCTCGCAGCAGCAAGAGGGTTAGAACCCACGATTAAGTGCACTTGCAAGTCGGTATCCCACGCTGCCATCAATGGCGCGGGAGAACCTGCGTTGCATGATGCGTCCTTCATGGTGAAGTATGGCGGGACGAAGCGCGATGCCCCTCCAAATAACCTTTTTGATGGATAGATAGACGCTTTCGGATTTGCAGTCAAAGGCACACTCAGGATTTAGTTTCGAGTGTGCAAGACTCCCTGGAGACCTTTGGTCTATATAGAATAATCACAATCACCTTGACTTGCCACACTTCCGCGGAGAAAGAATGAGTAAGAGGCCTGCTGCGATTGGTGATAACGATAAGGACCCTCGATATTGCAAATTCGATTGGGCAAAATGCGATCAAAGGAGAGTGTACACAAGTCAAGAATTGACTCTAGACACACAATATCAATCCCGGAATGTCTATCAGGTGACTCACGTCTATATCCTCTTTTTTTTCTATACATCTTCGTGGCTCAATGCGGTTAAAGGCAATTGCGTGCTTGCTTAGGTAATGGGCCCGGGGTTCGCCCAGTTGATCGTCTTCACTTCTGCATTGGGCTATTCAGGTGTTTAGTCTGGAGTATAGTCTCTGATATTATAGGACGGTGGTGATAGGTGTCTATCTTCCGTGGATAATAGACGCCTAAGCATATACGACTGGGTGGCATATATGTGAGTATACATACATCTATCTATATAGCTAAGTGGTAATTTACTACCTCACTCCCCTAGAAACAATCATACTTATCATGTTCATATTTTAATTGGCTCCAATTCGATCCAGTTATTAAGATGATAAGTCAAAGGGTACTCCGTGACTATAGAATCTTCGAAACTGATGTTGGGTCACGTGCACCGGAGCTTCCAGCTCGTAAGGGCGCAACATCGGAGCTACAGCATCACCTCCATCAAGTCTGCCATTCCACGAATCTCACTCCGCTCTGCGCACAGAACGAGAATAACATAAATCCCTACCGCTTTTGACTTTGACCTCTTTCGAATCGACCACTAAATCCTCAAAATCGTCATCATGTCCGGCGGCCTCTTGAAGCCCGAGAAGGACTTCACCAAGGATGCCGACAAGCTCATCCCAGAGGCTGAAGGTCTTGCTAAGGTGATTTTGAAAAATGCCATCGTAAAGCCCGATGCTAACGTGTCATTAGACTGATGTCCAGGGAGCGATCGATAAGCTGTTGGGTTTGGAGAAGCAATCGAGACAGGTATGACGCCGAACTCCATCACCTTCACCGCTGCAACACAGGCTAACCGAGGCTCTCTTATCTAGGCATCTGATCTTGCCACCACATCGCGACTCCTGATTGCCATTGTTACCATCAGCAAGAATGCCGGCGACTGGAACCTTCTCAACGACCAAGTGCTCCTCCTATCCAAGAAACATGCCCAACTCAAGCAGGCCACAACGAAGATGGTGCAGACGGTGATGGGATTCTTGGAGGAGACACCGAGCATGGAGGTCAAGATGTCTGTGATTGAGACTCTGCGGACAGTGACCGAGGGAAAGGTAGGCTGAGGATCCTTAGCGACTGACGGGATTTTTTGCTAATGGCTGTCGAAGATCTTCGTTGAAGTAGAGCGAGCCCGCGTCACACGCATCCTTTCGAATATCAAAAAGACCCAAGGAGACCTCAACTCGGCAGCAGACATCCTGTGTGAGCTGCAAGTGGAGACATTTGGATCGATGACGAGACGGGAAAAGACAGAATTCATCTTGGAGCAGGTCTCTTTGTGCATTGAGCGTGGAGACTGGACCCAGGCCCAGATTCTCAGCCGCAAGATCAACAAGCGCTACTTCAACCGCAAGCCCAAGAAGTCCGCCGAGGAAATTGAGAAGCTCAAGAAGGAGGCTGAGGAGAAGGAGAAGACCCGTGGGCCCGATGAGCCTCCTATGGAGGTTGATGACGATGTGACAGATCTCAAGCTTCGTTACTTCGAACAGCAGATCACCTTGGCCAACCATGATTACAACTACCTCGAAGTTTGCAAGAACTACCGGGAGGTTTTGGACACAGAGGCTGTCGAAAACAACCCAGAGCACCTGCGTGCCGTACGTGAACCCGCATCTACTTTTCTTTGATAAGCACTAACCTGAATATAGTCACTCGCCCGCATAGTCTACTACGTTGTCCTCTCTCCCTACGATAATGAACAGTCCGACCTCCTGCACCGCATCAAGCAAGACTCGCGACTGTCGCAAGTCCCCGAGGAAGCCCGCCTGGTGAAGCTCTTTACCATCCCCGAGCTGATGCGCTGGCCCATGGTTGCCGAGCAGTTTGGCCCTCACCTGTGCAACACCGACGTCTTCGACGCTGAGGCCAAGCAGACCACCGAGGACCAAGCTCACCGGAGGTGGCAAGATCTACGGAAACGGGTCATTGAACACAATGTCCGTGTGGTTGCCAAGTACTATACTCGTATCCAGATGGGCCGCCTGACCCAGCTTTTGGACCTGACCGAGGAAGAGACCGAGAAGTACATCAGCGACCTGGTCACGTCGAAGACCATCTACGCCAAGATCGACCGCCCCGCGCGGTTGGTCAACTTCGCCAAGCCCCGTGATGCTGATGATGTTCTGAACGAGTGGAGCAGCGACATGAAGAGCCTGCTGGGTCTGCTTGAACGCATTGATCATTTGATCACCAAGGAGGAGATGATGGCCCGTATCCAGCCTACTCGCAGTGACATGGGCAAGGCTCATTGATTGGAAATGTGTCAGATTTGAAGAATGCCACCGCGTGTAATATAATTCGCCGGTAGACGTGAGATATGAAGCCATACATTGACCTTTACCACATTCAACAGTACATACATCGTAGCAGTAATAAGACAGTAACAGTCGTCAACTCGTTGACTCGTCAATTGAGAAATCTGGACATCTATACAAATCTAGTCTAATCTAGTATAAATCCCAACCCTCAAAACGGCATATCCATATCATTGACATCCACCTCCTCAACCTTCCCCTTCTTAGAATCCTCCGGCCCAACATACTCCCGAATGAACTTAACAGCAGCATCCAAATAAGGCCGCTGACTAGGCAAAAAGTGACCACCAGGATGCCAAACAACCAAACCCTCCTTCTCCGGCTCACCAACACAAGCCTCAATCAAAGCCCGGCTCCTCCCTTCCTCAACAACAGCATCCAAACTCCCAAGCACATGCAAAACCGGCGTCCTAATAGCGGGCTCCTCAAAGAACCCACGATATCTTGCCCCAGGCGCCCTGAAACCCGAATAACAAACCGCAAACTTAAGCGGCGGATGCTGAAACCCAGCTCCGGCCCCAAACGACTCAGGGAACGGCATACCCGCCACACCCCCTTCGCCAGTAATTTTCTCAAAATGCTCAAAGCTCGCCTTCCTTCCGGGCTCCAGCAACGCCGCAACCATCGCCGCCAGCGCGGCGCCCTGCGAGAACCCAATCACGCCGTCGAAGGGTCCTTCTTCGGATAGTGTGCGCGCTACTGTGGCGAGTCCTTCCTCAATGCCTGTGTATAAGGGTGGATTGGCGGTGTTGGAGCGGCGCCACCAGCCGTAGGCTTCGATTGAGGAGGTTTCGGCGCTTGTTTCTGAGGGCTCGTAGCCAGGGATGTCGGCTGGGAGGAGGCGGAGGGGGGCTGTTGGGTAGCTTGTGCTGACATCATGCAGGGGAAAAGCTTTTTGGATGTGTTTTGTTAAAGCGCGGCTTTTGGCGTGGAAGAGGGGGCCTGACTGCGTGTAGCCGTGCAGCATGAGCAGTTTTAGGGGTTGGCGTTGGGTGGTGGGGTTGGGTGCCATTGTTGATAGGGGGTGGTGGATGGAGGGAGTCTTGAGTGGGAGGGTACTTGGGGAGTGGGAGTGAAGAACCTTGGGTGAGAGGGCTCTTTTATACATTGGGGAGAGATCGGAGAAGGAGTTGACTCTTTTTCTATTTTGATAAGAGATAAGCAGGCGGAGTCCGCGATAGGAAATACTGCCTGAATCAACAAACATCCAAACACCCCCTACTTTATTACTTCACTACTTGCCTTCTTTACACTCGAAATCCCTGCCTTGCCCATCATGTCTGAGTCACTCACAGGTAACAAGAACATCGAGACCCTCGATGCCCAGATGAAGGACTGCCTCAGGTATGTTTCCCCTCCCAATACCAACCACCAACCCCACCATACAAGATCCTTTCAACCTTAACCAAAGACTGATACTATAAACATCCTCTAACAATTACCTAGCACCTTCGAAGCCCACCCCCAATACCCCGACCATCCAACAATCTTCTTCATCTACGACTTCATCCGGAACACCCACAACCAACTGAAGGGAGTTGACCCCGCCAAGTTCTACGCAGGCGACAAGGCATCCCGAGACGCTGTGCAGGAGGTCATCGGCCGAAATGGTTTCGCTGCAATGCTTACCGGCGATACTACCGGCAAGCTGGCTATGTTGACTGGCGGAGATCCGGCGAACCCTGCTGATTTTGGTGAGGATATTAAGGCCAAGACAAAGATTATGGCCGGGTCTGACTAGTGCTTTTCTTGTTTCAATACTTCCTGTGCTTTTTCTTTTTTTGGGTAGGCATCGGGTTGGTCTTCTGTTTTGGGGTGGATGTACATACAATACCCTACACTACCTGTGTCTATTATCCGATCTATTTGAAACTACCTGAGGTGTTTCTTCTCTTTTGACTGTGTTATGTATAAGTTATACAATGGGATGTAGATGTGCGTGCACGGACTTCAGTTTATATTCGTGAGTACAAGGTCTCTGGAAATAGGAACTTCGGCCCTACCGATGGACAATGCACTTACATGTAGCTCACCTGTCAAAAGTACTGAATAGGAGCAGTTTGCTACGACAACTGTCATTATTCTAGGCTATTCCATCTGCAAATGTACCCTGATGTAATTTCCACCATCGGAAAAGCAGACATGATGTCATGGATAAGTTAGCTAGTTCCCAAATGGGAATGTTAGACCTGACGTTTGCTGCAGCGGAAGGTAGCACACGATCGGAGTGGTGTGTCTCCACAGGATCAACTGTGGTCGCCAAGTCTAGATGGTGGAGGGCGGAGGGTGGCCATAAACTCATACAATTATTACATTGAGCGGAGAAGATAGACCTACATGTAAGACATATGACTTAAGTTAACGTTAGCTTACTTGCAGGCAGCGATGATTCTAGATCTCAAATGGGCCTGGATATCATCGAGGATATCTGTACATGTAAACTACATAAGAGGGGTTCGAGGTCTACAAACTCGAAGCTACAGGCCATATACTAAGGTGCAACTCTTAAATTGAGTTAAGAACCTTTTTGTACAAGTCGCAGATACATTTAAAACACAAGAAACCAGAAAATCAAAACATCAAACATAGCACAAAGTCAAGCAAAAGAGCCTGGTGCCTTTTTGTGCCAGATATCCGGAACTCCCTGAGCAGAATGCTGTTGCTTTTTTTTTTGGTCGAATGCTTTTTTGCTGTTGTCGCTGGGAGGCGGGTCATTCCATCTTCTATCCGTCATCAATGCATAGAAACACAAGAATCCAACGCTGAGATATTAGAATCATCACCGTGAAAAGGCAAAAAGAAAAGAGCAAGGAAACGGTCGGATGAGCAAAGGGTCCCAGAGGCCACATTCAAATTTGACTTTCTCAAAGATGCAGGAAGATGTAGATACGAAGGACCATATCACATCATCTGCATCTCCCAAACCAACCAGTCGAAGAAATTGTAAAGAGAATATTCCATCCATTTTTTCGTAGGGGCAAGGGTGATATTGAAAAAGGGTAGTTTGGTATGTGACATTTTGAAGCCCGGGACCGGAAGACGGGTTAAAAGAAGTAGGAACTCTCCAAAGCCGGATCAAAAAAAAAGAAGAGGTAAGAAGAGGGCAACCCCGGGATTGGTATTTTCATCCTAATTTCTCCATGCTAATTCTCTTTGACGTTTCAACCGGAACATAACAAGAAAAAAAAGTTTTTCATTCGTTTCTCGTTTACTTGCGGCGGAAAGAGCAGCCCTCGGTCAGACGGGCCTTGCCACCGGTGGGCTGGCAGAGGACGGTCGAGCAACCGGCACAGATGACGACGGTCTGGGCGTGCGAGAAGACGGTGGTGATGGTGAAGCAACCGGGGCACTTGACGTCCATGAAGAAGGAGCGGGGCTGGGGCACAAGGGTCTGTTGGGCGAGTCGAAGAATCAGCCATTTGTTCCCATCATTTTCCATGTTCACATCCGATATCCGATGTCCTGTTGTTTTCCTTCGTCCATTCTGCTCGGAGAGCTTCGATGTCCCAGGTCTCCAGTGCAGGTTTCCATCTCGGTCGGCTTTTCATCTTTCCTCCACATATCGCCATCGGAGATCGGTTGTTTCATACCTTGAGCTTGTGCTTACGGCCCTCAGCCTGGGGCGTGGGGTTGAGGAGGTCGACCGCGAGAACCTGAGGACAGCAATGTTAGCGGAGATGAAATTTTCGATGATAGTCGCCCCCCATGTGGATGGAGTTGTTCTCGGAGGTCGAAATCAGGGCGAAAAAAAGGGGGACTCACCATCTTGACGAGTGAAAGTCGATCAGCGAGATAGTTGATTAATGGCGCTGATGGCGATGGCCTTGTGTGTAGCGGATGAGGTGGTCTTCCAAGAGAAGTTTGAAGGGATTTGGACCGGGCGTCCCGTTTGGGGGTGGTAGGGTTTGTGCCCGTTTGTGCCCTCGCTTGGTGTCCTCTTTCAGGAAGGCGGCAGGCTTCCCACCAATCAGCGGTGGTGTCATGAGGTAAGCTATCAAGTAAGCGCTGATGTAATCAGGACAGCTGCTGGTTCCCCATGTGGAGACTTCCCGTTTGAGCCTAGTGGTGATTCCGCGACTGGTATGCAGTCACTAGACTCTTTCTATAACTCTCTGCAACTCTCTACAGCTCTCTACAACTCTCTGCAACTGTACAGCTCTACAAGTCTCTGTCTTTGCAAATGTATTTGCAACTCTCTTTGCAACGCTCTTTACAACCATCTTTGCAGCTCTATCTACAGCTCTCTACAGCTCCCTAATGACAAAACTTTACAGCTCTTTCTACAAACATTACTTTTCCCACCGGTATGCAGTCGCTCGACTCTTCTACAACTTTCTACTGCCTGCGACTTCATCTTCAAGGCTTCTTCCTTGTCTCAGAATCTTCTCCAATCATTTGTTATTTGGCCAGCCACTCCGCATAAGTTGTGGGAAAATAACCTACTACTGAAAATGTCAAGACCTGAAAGGCTTAGCTCCGCTATGTCGTTCTGTCTAGCGACCTTGGTTGAACTCCAAGGCAACTCTGGATATGTCACTTCAGAACTACCAACCACGCAATTCGGAGGACACAACAGTCAACTTAACGTCATTTTCAAATACTTCCCTCATGATGGTCGAAACAATCTTGTGGAAAATGTTTCTCGGTGCCGAGGCGACGGTGCTATCCGACAGCGAGCTGATAGCCTGGGTAGCGGTATACTACGCCCGGTGCTATCAAGCATACACACCTTCAATCTCCGGACAGATATACCCGCAACCAGCATAAGCTGCGCCAGAAGTGCCTAACCGGGACGACCACAAATGCGTTATCACAAAGTGCTAGGCAATTCACAGAACATTACAGGGTGTTCACATCCTTTTTCCCTTGGGAGTTCCCAAGATTGGGCTATCTTTCGATACTTCCCGAGCCTACGTTCGCGTCTCAACAATGACGACAGGGGACGTGAACACAGTCGGAAATCGCTAAAGATGTACAGGTAGGGCAAGAATTTAGGCCTTTTCACTTCGTGTTCGAGGCAACTCCAACCCCGTACCGTTATCGACTCAAAATCTTCCCGTCCTTCACTAAAATCCTTAATGTTCACCTACCGCACGACAACATCGTCACGATGTATAGTGACTACAAGCAATTCGGCCCTCCAAACCCAACATTCCTTGCAGTCCATGCTGCAATCGGGAACATTCTGCATCTCACCGGCCGCGGTGAAACCATTGAAAAGCTGATGCGCGACTTGGGCGATAATAGTGCCTTACTAACCCACCATGGGACCACTGTGCTCTTCTGTCGGTTAGCAAGCTTTCGCGTTTTACCACTAGTCGAAATGCAAAATGACGAAGATCCTCTCGTCAAGCCTAGAGCCACAGCCGGCTCCCAAAGCCACGATGCCCGGCAATGAGATTACGAATTCCAGATCGTTTATTTCAGACTATCCTTATGAGTGATGATTATGACGAGAATGATTGAACGTATTATGATGTTACGAAACCTGACCTCTTAGCTTGGCAGCAATGAAGCACAGTGCAATATTTTCCTGTATTGGCCTACATTCGGTATCACTCTGTGTAGTCGTGGTCACTGCATTGATCGCTGGTTCCCCGTGTGGATATCCCTATCTGGGACTAGTGCATATACCGCGACTGGTATACGCTCGACTCTTCTACAGTACAACTCTCTTTACAACACTCTACAGAGTATAAACATATTATTTCTCTCATATTCTATCGCTAAATCGCCACTCGAACCCCGAAACAAAAATTATGTACTGGAAACGTCATTAGCCAGGCATCGTTATCCATGCTTTTCGATTACTGTTGATACCCGCTTCCACCCGCATGAAGCTATTGATAGTGGGGAGTGAGGTTGAACTAGTTCTACCCACGTATCAATCACAACACACCAGACTGCACCACACCATCCCCTACTTGGTCTTCTTCGCCGTACCGTTCTTGTGCTCAGTCTCCTCAATGAACGGGTACTTGATGGTAAGGCACCAGATATCAATGTAATCACATATCGTAGTGATGACATCGAACTAAAGGAAAGAAGGTCAGCAATAGATCGCGCATATTCAAGGGAAGGGAACATACCACAAAGCTGCCATAAACACCAACAGCGAAACCCAAACAAACGAAAACAAAAGCCACTTGGCCCACACCATAGCCAAGAACAGGAGTCTCCCACAACCCAACCAGCGCACCAGCACTATCAAGAACTCCCAGAGCAAGCGGGTACAACAACACATTCTGATAAGGGAACCCCGACTGAACGAGATGCCCCACGATCATCCGACCGACAGAGTAAGCATTGACCAGACTAACAAACAGCCCAAAGGGAATGGTATAGTTCTCCAGGATAGCGGGCTGCAGATACAGGTATGCTGGCACAAGCGTCCAGATAACAGCCACGGGCAGCAGACCATACAGCGGGGCGAAGGGGTCCTGGCCGCGCTCGCGACGCACCTGCATTACATGCATGATGCTCGAGCCGGTGGCGAAGAAGAGTACGAAGGCGCCGTAAACTAGGTACCACTGCGTGAAGGGCATTTCGTATACTGTCGTCGAGAGGAAGCTTGGCTTTGAGATGCCGAATGTTTCCAGCATGGGCTGGTGCCAGAAACTGCCGCCGCCTACGTAGGCTGTGAAGGCGTACACGGTGCAGATTGTCAGGAGGCCTTCGACAGGACCGGAGATCACGCCTAGGGTTAGGATTTGCGTGTAGAATTCATCCCAGGTTTGGACGTAGAAGGTCATGGTTGCTGTGTTTGTCAGAGAGGATTTACTTGACTGGTATATATCGGACGAGTGGCTTACATCCGAATAATGTGATGAATGTCATCCAGCCCTGGCCGAGGTTCATCACCGATGCGAAGATCAGCACACCGAGTCCGGTGTTGCATGCGTCGACACCTGGAAATCAAATAATCAGCCACCCATGGTCATTCACAGGATATAGATATAGATATAGATCCAGCAAAACTTACTGTGATCAAAAAGCTCTCCAAGAGGTCCACTCTGTCTCGTCCTCCGTCTAAACCCCAATCCGAATCAGTAAAGAGTCCCTCAACAAGCAAGATAACCACATACGCCTGCATGCCATCTACAGCATCAAAGGTCTGGTATAAGAACAAGCCCAGCGCGCAACTGACATAAACCCACGTCGGACAATCCGTGTCGAGATTCGGGTTGTACCACATGACAGTGATGAAATTAAGGACGACGAACATGAATCCAGTGAGGGTGATCTACCATAGAGAAAAGAGATTAGGATCCATGATTCTGATAGTTGGTGCATTGGCTTGGATTGGACTGGAGATGTGTGTCGCATGGGCAAGACTTACGGCATTGGGTCTTTAACGCGCGAAGCAAAGAGCGGAAATAAGTCAGTCATATGGCGCTTGTATAAACTGATCGGAAAGAGAAGAGGGAAAAAAAGGTATTTCGAGCAATGTGCCTGGTCCTTTTCAAGGTACCCCAGACCCAGCACCAAGTCCAAGCTCGAGGCCAATTCTCCCAGAAAACAAAACAAAGCACTAGGCTAAGAGAGGGAAATACTCACGCCATCTCCATGGGGAAGCATCCGATGACACATTTGTTATAAAACGGCTTGAGGATGTACCGACTGACAGGCGAGTGGTCGACACCAGCGTACTTGTAGTTGCGGAGGTTTGGGAGGTACTTTTGCCGGATGTACACCATTCTCCTGTGATGCGCGTACTAGCTACGCGCTGTTTATCGGATGTTTGGTTGAGGCGCTCGAGGCATATATTGGGGAGGATTGGCGCGTCTCGATGGATTTCGCGCGGTGGTTGCGGGTTGCGGTTGTAGTAGGCGCGCGATTTGCGATGGGATCGGGGATGAGGAAGTTCGACCTTGACTGCTGGTTAATAGGCCACAGTAGGTGTGCCCAGGTGGCGATGGATTGGAGATGTAGACAAAGGCAAAGGGGAGGAAAACAAAGCGGCAAAAAAAGTTGGCGGAAAACTGGGTCTCCGGGGAGATTTGGACTAGAGAGATGTTGAAGATCTTAAGGCCACTTGGTCTTGGCTGGGACTCTGCTTCTTTTCTTCTTTTCTTCTTTTCTTCTTTTGCTCGTTCTCTTCTTCCGTTTTTTCTTGTTTTGATCTCCTTGGTGTCTTTGGTGTCTGGTTCTCCTGAAGAGGTCCAGAGTTCCAGTGAACTTATATTGGCAAGAGTCAAAACTGCATCATGAAATGAGGGGCCTTGTACACGTTAGTCGGCGAACACGTGCCCTCAACATTACTTCTGCTATCCAAGCGTTGCCAATGAGATGCCTCATCCTGTGCCGAAAGTGCTAAGATCGTCGAGTATACGGGTGGGGTTACCCGACAGCCGGAGGCACGCGTACTCCGTTCCTGAATTTTATAGGCTAAAGACTTGTAGACCAAGTTTCCAATGTATGCTTCGTATTCAATGCTAAGGTACACAATACAGAAGATAATGTAGATGTTCTCCCCTTGATAAGTATATAGGGCGAGATCTGCCTGACAATCTGCTTCAAGATCCCGAGATCGAATCCCTAGGGAACATAAACGTCGGGACGAAAGCGTCAATAGACACTGTTAATTTAGCCGACAGGGCTCCAAGGCATCGGAACAAGAATCCGACTCTGCATGGTCTGGATAAGAGGTACTGTTTTGTGTACAGTCTCGGCCCATCCTTCCACACCCCACGACTGCTCACGGCGGATCTTGCGCTCCTCCAAGTTGGCGAATTGCCAAAGGTGGTGGACTGTGTTCAAGTCGCCAATCTGCACAAACCACGCACCGACACCTTCCATCACCTCGCGACGGGCGGTCAGACCACGACGCCAGTGTGTCTCCCACTCCAGCAGGTTGCCCGGGTGCAGAGTGTACGACCGTAGCTCGAACAAACCACCAAGACGGCGGGGTGGGGTTGTAGGCCAGAACGAGAACTCTTGCATAAGGGAGGTCTTCTTGCTCTTGATCAGACTTTTGAGCTTGCGATCGAAATCACGGAACTCGGGGTGTTCCGAGATGTTGTGAAGGGAGGCATGGTAGCCTTCGTAGCGTTGGTATTCCCAGATATGGACTATCCCGCAAAAAGCAAGGTCAGCCAACAAACACCAATTCAATTGCTCGGTCGGAACTTACTAAAGGTATCATTGTCACCGACTTGCGTCCGCCAGCTGCCGACCAAATTGACGCGGTTCTCTTCGGTGCCAGCCATGCGTGGATACCACTGGCCCACAAGATCCACATATTCATCGACCTTATCCGGCTTGACGTCGTGCATGACAATAGAGTGAACATATTTACCGCGGGCCAGCACCTGCGAAAAGGAGCGTTCCACGTCCTCGTCGAAATGCCGGCCTTCCTCGGTACCGTAGATGAGCGATGACAGAGGACCACGTTTCGCTTCAAAATGATGTTCTTCTCCTAAATAGCGGTGCATCGAGAGTGAGCCCATTGCCTTATGATCCAGGGTTTGTGCAGCATCGAAAGAAGATCGGATTCGATTATTGCTGCTCGCATTGCTCACTTGTGGAGCAGTGGGAGCGGACTCACGGGAAGGGGTAAAGGAGGAGACAGAAGCATTGACAGACTGACTCTCTACCTGTTCTTTTCTCAAGCGAGCCTGTTCCAGGTTCTCGCGGAATTCTTTCTGTCGGCGGTGGAACTCCTCCGTCGAGTCGGCTGTGACATCTCTGATCGAGGGTGACCGGTAGGCAATGGCTGACGTGCTGAAGGGTCGCAATAGCGAGGTTGCTGTGCGGGCTACGCGTGGAGCCAACATGACGAAATACAAATGACGATCAGAAGACAAGCGATGAGGATGTCGACAAGGGGAGGGTTGAAAGTATCAAGGATACAGGAAGATTGAGAGGAAGGAGCAGTGAAGAGAAAGAGTAGTGAAGTGAAGAGGGGAGAGTTGGTAAGGGCAAGAGGAAGGGGGCAATAATCCCGGACAAGTATGCAAATGTACCAGTAATAACTGCCGACAAAGGAGGATAATCCGCTTTTCTCTGTGAATTGATTTGACCTCGAAGTTAAGCAGCTCCAGATTGTGCGGGGAAATGAGCTTCCCCCAGTCGATCGGGTACTTGGGACGGGCTGTGCTAGTACCTTTTGCCCCAATTACTGCCTGTCGCCCACCAAATTGTGGATAATGATGACATGGCTGATGTGTACTTGGTACTTGGTACTTGGTTATATAGCTCTTACTAGCTATGATTGGGTCTACTCTAATCCATGACACCTTTGAGACATTGCTCTTGTGATCAATGAATAGCCTGATATTTGCAGTATACGAGTGAATAGCCGTGTGCATCCTCTGTTAGGGTACATGGTGAAACGGAGTCTCCACGCACACCACTCCGTGTATAGGCGCTTCAGGTGTAACATACACCACTAGCCAA